ATCCATCAATCCATCCATCAATCCATCCATCAATCCATCCACCAATCCATCCATCCATAAATAGCTTTGTGTCCTGGAGATGTCTTTGCGCCACGTCCAGCAGCTACTTCAGCAGCACCACGTCCAGGTCTCGCCCCCCCGCGGCCAAGTCGGACCAGAAGTCGGAAGAGGAAACCATGTCGCAGAAGTCGTCGCTGTCGTTGCTTCAGAGTTTTCCAGAGCTCCAAGACACTTGCTTTTGTATGCTTTTGTTATTTGTTAAACCAGGTGATTTAGTTGATGTTCCCAAACTGGGTAGGTCAATTCCCCCTTGCTGAGGAATATAGGGTTTTTGTTCAAAGCCAAGGATATGACCCTTTGCGTGGACACCTCCAGCAATTGGTTCGACGCTTGGACGCAGCAGATCGAAAGACGCAGCCTGACGCAGCGGAACCAGATCGGAAGACGCTCGAAGCTCCAGGAGACCCAGCTAGAAGTCACCAGACGCCTTCAGCTAGAGGCCTTTAGCTTGGTGATGTCTTATGGTTTTTACATATAATAGGCAAATTGACGCACACCGATTTGTGATAATGATAATCATGTGTTTTCAAGCTGTGATTGTTTTGCTTTGCTCATGAAGTATTTTGACAACATTATACATCAGCTGCACATCAAAAACGAAACCCAGACTTTGCCTCCCAAGCTGCCTACTGGGCCTACTGTCCATGTCAGATGGCAGAGAAGAAATCCTTCTTCCACCATTAACACCGCCGATGCTCATGTTCTGTATCCGACGGTGGTGTCGAATTCGTACGATTTCCGTCGGTCCAATCCCTGGACTTCTGATCAGGATGTGGAACAGGCACACCTGAGCTTCATGCGTCAACCGCAGTCCTCCCATCTGTCGATGCCCTCCTTGCGACGCCTTATACGACCCAGTGAGTGGGAGACGGTGCGGAGCAAGTTGAAGGAGGTTGGTTGCGGTGCCTCCGCTCCAAGGTGGAGAATTTTGGGCCGATCGAAGAAAGGATGAGGGAAAACAGGACGAGGTGAACCAGGACCCGAATCATGTTCCGTCGGGCTCCAGTCGTGCCTCAGGTTCGGTATGACTGGACCCTGCAGAGCCACCCCACTCCCACCTTCGAAACGAAGGTACGACTGGAGCCCTAGGGGGTTTCTGCTTGTGAAGAACTCGGGAGATCGCTCGGAACGTACGGGAGTCCGGTGGCGGAGCTGTTCATTTGTAGGGGGTTCTTCATGTCTCTTACGATTGAAGAAGCGAATGAAGAAGCAGATATGTCAGCCAACTGGTGCTTCCTCGACTGTTTCAGGTGTTGTGTTTTTCATGTGTTTTTTCCGCCTAATTGGGAGTCAAAACCCAGAGAACCCGGTGGGGTGGAGAGCACCAATCTTTTGTCAGGGAATGAGAGTCATGTGGCTAATTAAACACCAAACATGCTTTTGCCTGGCGCACCTCGCGAAGCTGGTGCGTGAGGTTTCGTGAGTCCAGCTCTTTGAGTCATGTCAAATACTCTTTTGGGGCGCAGAACATGGTCACAACCGCCATAAACCTCCAGCAGTCACAAGACGGGGTGCCGAGCTTGGAGGATAGGGGTGCCCCTGTCACATCCACTCACTTACCCTAACACTCCAAGTACCTCCTTAGAAGGTATGACTGGACCCTCTAAACCCACCCCAAACACCTTCTAAGAAGGTCCTTGGAGCCCTAGGGTTAGGGACCAAAACCCCATCCCTTTGTGACTGCTGGCTGTTCCTGGATGTCGGATGTTTAAAGTACCGACCAGCGCTGCCGAGCGAACTTGATCGGCCTCCGTTTACGCACATTTTCTTGGGGACCGAGGGTGAGATGAAGTGGGTCAAAGCGTTTCAGATGTGAACCAGTGCATGTCAGCATCAATAGGTGTTTAGTCACATTGAGGCACGTTTTTGTTGGAGCAAGACTGTCTCGCAAGTTGACAGAACTTTCAGGTGCCCGGTGTTATCTTGTGGTGCGCGCCCAACATCAGTCCTGTGGCTGTTGGTCAAAATCCAGAAACCTACTGTCATCCCTGGTAGGTTGTAGTCTATTCTGTTAATGTTCGGCGTTTTGCCCCTTTTGCCCCACAGCCATGGCTATGTTGGAAAGCTCATGTAGGGGAGCCCTTAAGCTCATGACCATCTCCTTCCCAGGCGTGGCAACGACCTGGGTTTCCGTTCGGGAGGCATGACCAGGTGAAACCAGGGAGGTCCCCATATTCAAAAAACAAACCCCAAACGGCTTCATTGGGATGATTTGAGTGGCTATGAGAATCCCAACTTCACCCACCAAACCGTCACTCTTCCTTCGCAGTGTCAGCCGCTGACCTGCATGGCTGCCACATCTTCTACGGCTGTGAGGAAGGACGCCATGGGTCAGGTCAGAGTCATTCCAGATATTTCGACGAATCTGTTTCGTTTGCGTCTACCAGAGAGGGTAAACACCAGCATGACCTCCTGTTTGGACCCACTGCCATGATCTGCCATGTGTCATCCGTTTGAAACCCGAGTCTCACCATGAAACGCTGATCATCGCTCATCATACTATCCAACTGGGTGTTTTGGGTGCGATCCGGACGTCTTCTGTGACGCTTATCCAGACTCAGGTCATCGAGACGGCTCAGATCACACAGATACGATGGAGATGCATCTCTTGGATGATGCGAAGCAACCCTTGATTGCCCAAGTCCAAGTCTCTGCATATCGCCCACCTCGAGGTGGGGACGAGACAAAACATGATTCCAGCAGTTCCGTGTCAGGGTGCTTGATGGAGGTCAGGGGTGCCCAAGTGGGTGCCCCTGTCACATCCACTCACTTAGGGACTAAACACCACCCCGTCTTGTGGCGCTCCGTGTTGAGTTCTTGTGTTTCGCAACAGGTACTGTATCAAAACGAAAAGGTGGCACAGATGGGATTGGTGAAGATACCCTCATTGTCACCTGTGGGAGTGTGTTCAATTCGATAATGTAAATCCCAGGGTGTAGAATTACATAGAAGTACCAAGAATTAAATAATTACCAATTAACAGTTGAAGATCTACTTCCTTTTCTGGATCTCCTCTTAGTATATACAGCTGCTTAGAACCATGCGGTCGAGGGTCCAGAAGCTCAGAGAAAAAACATGGCGCCCAAGCGTTTCAGTCTGCGCGCAGGTGGGGAGTGCACAGCGAAGGTGTGCTTGAACTTTACAGATTTGCTCTTTGAAGATCGCTCCCCAAGAACGCGAGGCCAAGCTTCTCGCTCATCATGCCTGTCAGATCTGTCAGCCATCAAAGAGTGAGATGAGATGAGTGAGATGGAAGCTGACCAGATCTGGTCAGTGTGGACTGATGTGTACAACCATACCTTGTGGGTCACATAGAAGTGATGGGTTATGGATGGTTATGGTGTTGTCTTCTGGAGATGGTTCTTTGAGCGAGTATGGGTAGCGCCTTTACCTCCAGCATCCCACCCAAGTGAGACCCGGCAGGATGTCATTTCAAGGCAGTTGACTGTTCATCGACCACCCCTGCGCGAAGTTATCCAGGGGGTCGTGTGGGCAATTGTTTAATTTTGTTTTTCTCTGTGCACAACTGGATGCACTTGATTAGAATTGCCAAGTTTTGGCTTCAGGAGTAGATGGTGTTTCGTCACGTTTGTTTCATCTACTCTGAACTCACTAGGGTGTGGGGTCACGTCACCTCTCAACGTTTTTCTAACATGAAAAAGACTCGAAACCAGCCCCAGGTGGCCAGCCCTGTTGATCCCATGCGCAGTAAGTGGTGTTTTGGGGGATCGGTCGATGACGGACGTGGACCTTTTCATCCACACCCGCGGGTTCATCCCCAAGTGATGCAGCCATACCTGGCGGATTTTGTATATCTCTGTGGAGTGCTGCTTGGTGCATCTGAGCTGGCAAACACCTAGAGTGAGTCTCAAATGAAACTGTGTCGAGTCCCAAATGTGGGCAAATTGGATTGGATAGAACCTGCGCACTGTTGGACACCAGATTTGTCCCCATGGTTCATGGTTTTACGCTTTGATCCCCAATCCAAGGAATGAGGATGGTTTTCCGTTGCCAACGACCGTGAAAGAACATATCGGTTTGGCGATGCATGCGTGTTGAGCTTGCAAAAAAGGACGGACGGACTCCTAGGCCAGCTTCGATGGTTCGAATCTTGAACCACCGGTTTTAAAAGGATTTTAGATTACATACCACCATACATGGTGTTTAATGGAATCACCACATGAGATTTTACAACACCCGGTCAGGTCTTTCGTGCTTTTGGAATCTCCAGCTGATTCCCTACGATCGAAATCGTTCTCAGGTTGAACTCGTTTCACCATGGCTCGCTCGCTGGATGGAGCTCACCACCGGTCAGACGATGCCAGGCCCCGGAAACGGCCAGGCCCGTTTGAACCAATACTGTGCAAAGGTTTCACATACTGGTACTGGGGGGGTATCTGGTGCGTCTCCTTTGTGAAGTGCCTTCAGAACTTGCCGATGATTATTGCATAAGAGCGTTGCCATCATATGATGGCATATTCCAAACACTGGCAAATGATAGGGGTCTCACAAAAGAACGATACATAACGATACCCTTGAACAAGGTTCCAAAATGAATCAACAGTCTACAGCAGCTGCAGCTGAACCAGTGGTTCACGAACATGGCCTGGTAATGCCTGGTCAAGACTCGTGAAGTTCCAGAAGATGAAAATACCTTGCCAGGTGAAAGACTCGCATGATCTCACATGCTTTGAGTCGTTGGCTTTATCCCACCAGCTTACCATTGAACTCACGCCATGAGGGTAGGGCGTAAAAAAACAGAGCTTTACTCCCCCTCCCCAAGCAACTCGGGCGTGGGATGGGTCCGGATGGTACGTCGTCCATCGGATGGCACCTGGATGCGCGCCGCCGGAGGCGTGCGAACGGCGAGGCGGTGGTCTCCGGTCGAGACAGGACCGGCACCGGCACCTTGACCCACCACGGCCAGGGGTGGTTGAGAGTATCAAGGAGTGAATGGTAGGAATCTGCTGTAATGGACATATCTGCTGCAATTGCCCGAATCTCGACGTCGGATTAATCAACGGGAGGGCCTCCCCCCCTTCAAGGTCAACAAGGTCAACAAGGTTTGAGATTGGAGGTTTTGGAGATCACATCCCCCTAATAAAGCTGATGGCTGATGACCTGATGATGAAAGGGAATTTGATTCGGAAGAATTGGAATGAAAGGGAATTAGTATTTGGAAGAATTGAGATGAAAGGGAATGAGTATTTGGAAGAGT